TCTGTGGTGAAAGTGTTGTCGATCGCCGATGGTAGAAACTAGACTCGGTGTATAATGAGTCACGCCAAGAGAAAAATAGTTGAACTCGCATCACGGTTTTCGAAAGATTCCCTTTCTTTTCACATGGCAACAGAGGACTTCTGCATCAACTTCAAATGACTTCTAGCGAGGACAAAAAGTAACCATTAAATTAGTGATTTTGTCAATTTATCTTAACGAAAAATAGTAGAAATTCTCATTACTGATCATTACAAAACGTATCGCATGACAAATGTAATGCTCACTGCGTGTTTATGATCATTTCTTCGATTATATTTTATATTTAATTGCAATACCTTTCGTGGACCTTTCATAGCATCGTATTGCTGGTTTACTTTGCAGGGACAAACAGCCCAGCAAACAATTGCCTATTGAAGAAACGACGTCTTGTCGATTTTATTCAACTGCATGCTTAATAATACTTGCACTATTTTGAATAATAACTTCTGTTCAGGCTTTGTTCACACAAATCTGGAGAATTCTCGATAAACATTTCAAATGGTCCTATCTTCTTTGATCGATTCTCCTCATTGACTTTCTCTTTTCATAACCACTGCTATGCAAACAGATTTCGCGCTAATTCTACCACATAGTTTGATAAAGGAGGTTCTTATCTAGCGTCCAAAACGTCAAATACAACAGGGAAAGGTTTTGCAGCTGAGTTATTGACGAAGGAGAAAGTCGATGAAGAGAATCGATCAAAGCAGATAGGACCATTTGAAATGTTCATCGAGAATTTATTTAACCGCAACATCGAAATATTTGGTGTTGAATAAGGTATGTCGAAGAGCTTTTGTTCGACTTACAAGAGTTGAAAAAGAGCTTATTCGATAATTTTTTTTTGATTATTCAACGTTTATTAGACGTCTCCTTAAACAGCGATAAAGGTGTATATAGACGCTTGATTCTCATGTGAAATAATGTTTAATTAGACACTATTATACGTTTATTAATCGATTATTCAACTACGGGATAATTTTTATCCGATAATAAGAACGGGACAGAGCAGGGTTGTCCTCGTTAGTGATTGTTGTTGTCATTATTTCTGTCGAAGCACGCACCCACACCACACAGATACTAGAAAATTTATTACATACACAACAACAACACATGCCGTTAGTTAGATGGGATTCGAACCATGACCTTCCAATCACCAACCGCTTGCCTTGCCATCTGAGCTATCCTAGAATCTGGGCAGCTAAATAAGCAACCGTTCGTGAAACTTCTTCAAAGTTCTTTATACAGAAATAAAGATTAATGTCGGCAATTCTTTACTTTAAATTTTCTATGATTTCGATGTACAGTACACATTTAAAAATCTTCATTGAACGATACTTACATTTAAGATTATTTCTTCATCGGTCATATGATAGTAATCTATAAAGGTGCCATACTAAATTTCTTTTAATTTCGATATGTCACATGAACTTTAGTATTCTTTACAAATATTCATCAATAAATATTTAAATACTGATATCATCGTAACTTTGAACTTTGACAAAGAACAACAAAGATTGCCATCGATGCACATTTATAATCTCCTTGTTATCGATTTGCATCGCTGGTTAAAGAGAGTTCGAGACACACCAGGTGACAGATGGCAATGTTTATATTATTTATCGACATATTTGGCATTTCATCGGAAGAAGCAATCTGCCGGTAAATGAACAAGAAGATCGATGGCCGCGACGCAGCAAATGTTTACCATTGTAGTTCTTCAAGTTTACGTCTATATTAACCCGTGATAGCATGCGTGGTGGGATTCTCGGCATTTGGAAACCCAATGAGGAAAATTGATACCTTTTTGACCTCTATTACACCTACATGGCTGACTGGTTGATGGCTATGACAAATAAATTTATATAAATATTGAATTCATGTATGAAAAGATTTACAGAAATTTCAATACAACACATACTAGAGTGTGTTTGCCTGTCGTTGATAAGCACATCAACAGCAGCCGTAGACCCGAGGACTAGCAACCAACAACGAAATCAGTACACCCCTGATGGCATGGATCGAAACTACACGAAAAGAAAAATCCATATCGAATGTATTAAGCAAACCACATAGATTTTTGCCATTGCAATCTTCACATGAAGCTTAAGCGCAATTCATATGACATGTATAAACCTTGTCAAATCAATTTCATAACATAGACTTATACATTTCAAGTGCAATCGAACATACTCTTTATCAGGCGTCAAATAGATGTCATTGAATTGAGACATGAATATTATATTGAAGAGAATAACAATTTTATAATTCTCATACATAGCATTCATGTTTTTATTTACGGTTTTATTGCGTTATATCAAAATATGTTCTATTATACTACCATCTTGGTGGTACCAAGGCAATGCTCGTTTTCGATGAAAATGTATGTTTAGAATAAAATGCACATCGATTAAAAACGAGAAGAGGGGTTCTATCGGGTCATAGCACATCAATAATCAAAGTTTTATTCGTGCGCAATTTATTTTTAGATATTGATTTGAGCCAACTTACCTATTTACCAATATTTGCAGGACTTCCTCTGGCAATTACAGCTCATTCTACACGAAATACTTTCGAGCGCCATATTGGATACAATATCAATGCCTAATCACATCAAAAGTATAAGGCAAACCTTATAACTTTTAGCCATAAGGCTTGCCTTATACTTTTGATTAGGAAAACAGATACAAGATATGTGGAAGGTGTATGCATGATATGTTCAAGGTTTATAAAAAAGATGAGTTTTCTTATAAAAAGTATTTGTTATCTAGACATAAACAGTATTAGTTTAGCTTAATGAATTAAATAATTACAATTCTTTGAGTGTAGAAATTAGGCAGATAAAAAAATCAGCAGTTGAGTATCGATATTTTGATTTTACAACAGAAATCGATTTTTTTTTATCTGGCAACACAATCGATATTTTAATATTGGTAACGATTGGTAGCAATATTTTGAGAAAGATCGTTATAAACGATTCACGATTAGACTTTTAGCATCTTTACAATTATTCATGAAATGGTGACGATCGCTATCGATTTTTCTTATGAATGGCTTTGAAGATCGATGTATAGAAAATTAACGAAATGGTTGGTCGGGCTCCCTGCCGTTACTCTAGCTAATTCAAGGAGATGTGAGAATGATAAATTCATTCATAGTTGTTTTGCATGAGACCAATATTACATCTCCGTCTCTCTAATTTCGATGGAAAGGATGCTGGGCTATTCTTTGCGATTGATTGATGAATTGGTTGTTGTGAGTGATAAGATCTATGATTACTATTTAAATTAATTAGGCGTAGAAAATAAATAAAAAAATGGGTTGAGGCTGGGATTGAACTCGCGACCTTCTACTTGGCAAGTGGAAACGGTAACCACTATGCTAAAAATTTCGTTTTGATGTTAGCCTGAAACAGTGTTGTTGGCGTATTCACGTTTGTAAAATATTTACAAAGCATGCAATTAAAACATGTGCGCATAGTGGTATAAGAACTATTAAACTGACTGTATTCACCTTTATTCAGCAATATTGTTAAGCAATGCAATGGAATCTAATAATGGAGCTAGAAAACAATAATTAGACTATAATAAAGCATGTTATTAAATCAACAGTCGAATTAAAGCGTCAATGTATGTGAAAATTACACTTATTCAGTATGTTATTCCCAACAAACATTGAATGTTGAATAAGAGCTTATTCAGGCGAAAATAAGCTTCTTCGGCTAAAAAATTGCCTTTTCAGCTGTTAATCAGCTTAAATTGTTTTTTGGGTTAGATCAAACTTCTGGTGTTGAATTGGGAAGACAGTCATCGTTTGTATAGCTTTTAATAAATATATTAATCAAATCAGAGCAAACAGCGGAATAAAGGCGCATCTATCGATCTCAATGAGTTTTTTTCGGCACATAATTTGACAACCCGTTTTATTCATCATTGTACACTGTTTTAAAGCATTTATTCAATATATATGCTTATTTGTGACTCTGAGTTGTTTATTGGGAGGCACAGATAAATTCTATTCCAACTCTTAACTTTAATAAGCTTGTTGACCCTGAAAAGGGCCGTTTGATTGCCAAAGTTGGTGATGATGTAACCTCCGAAACCCTACAGAGTGCGTCTTTCGCTTCAAAGCGTAGACGACATCCATGGCCGCTTACGCTTGGCGTGTTCAGAGTAGGTGACAACATCACGGATCATATTTTCCAGGAACACCTTCAGCACACCTCGTGTTTTCACGTAGATCAGACCGTAGATATGTTTGGCACCGCCACGGCGAGCCATACGACGGATGGCGGTTATCACGAAGAACCTTGCGATGACGCTTGGCGCCTCTTTTATCAAGACCTTTTCCTCCTTTGCCACGACCACGACCAGTTAAAGCAGATTGATGTGCAACCAAGTGGTACTTGATTATGATGACTGGGTTTGGGAAGAACGTTTATTTCATGAAAACAGTAATAAAAAATTATCTATTTTTATTTGTACATTGGACAATGCTTGACAATACCACTTTTTCAATATATTGATGCGAAGAAACATTTTTGATCGATTGGTGATAAAATTATTGAAATTGGTCTAGGGGCAGCTGAGTTATTAATGTTGAACATCTTTCATAATATTGTTACATGTTCCATTTTCATTTTTCACAAAATACGTCAAAAATAGAGGCAATACACAACATACCTTGGCTGCTTTTAACAGTTACTTCTGCATCTCAACGAAGAAGGTATGCCCACAACGGCAGTTTGTGTACGCGCACGCTTCTCGCAATCCCGAAGTTCGAACCGACAGCAAACCCCTCGAACTCATCAATGAACACGACTCCGTACAAGCATAGCGAGTTTTCATTTTCATTGAATACTTTTTGCGAGAAGCGTATAAACAAACAGCACGATTCATTCCTTCCGGGCTTCGCTTCGTTCGATTGTGCAGTCATCCGGTCGGTCGGTCAGTCTTCGGAAAGATCTTGCTTGCGTCGGTCGCTTCTCTCGGCAACGGGAAACGTCAAATTTTGTGAACTGGATGTGGAGAAAAAAAAAATATCTAAAAAAGGTGTAAAGAAAACCCAAAGCATCAAGGAAAAGTGAAGCATAAAAGTTTTGTGGAGGAATATAATTTCGGGTGGTTTCTTCGAATCGGTTTGTCGGTGACCCGTGACGGTGCAGTTCAGTGATGCGTTACGGGCAGTATACTACTGGTGAAAAGTAACTTTTTCTTTCTTCGGGCAGCAACATTAGCCAGCGGCCTTTTTCTCGGGTGGAGAAAAGCGTAGATGGCCGTTTCGGATTGAATTCTATCCACTGCAAAATCGGTCCTATTTTTGTGAGAATTAAAACAGTTTTTTCGGAGGCCCGTGAAGAAGCGTGAAGTCAACGTTGAACGAGTTAAAGTTTTCTACGATTGTGAGCAGATTTTGGTTGTTACTGTTGTTTTATTCTTTTTCGCCCCCATTCGTCGCCGTCTGGGGCTGTGTAATTTAAATTCTTTCTAATACTAAAATTTTGGATGCGAGAAAAGGCATTTTTTTCCTAACTGAAGTTGAGTGAAAAATTAGGCGTATAAGCATAGAAGTGAAAAATCTGTGGAGGGCGCCGAAGAAGATTGAGGTGCGAGGGCAAAGTGCGTTTTTTCGGAGTGAGTCAGGAAACGGAAGGGGAGCGGAAGCGCCAGGTGGGAAGCGCGGTGTGTGGAGTAAACAAAAAGAAAGAAGCATCCAAAACATACCAGTCGACGAGGCGTATCAAGCAGCAACCATCAAGCCCCTGTACCTGTGGTGTATGTGAGAAGCGTGGGAGGAGGCCAGAAGAGTGGGGCACCGAAAAATATAGGCGTGTGGTGCTAGCTGCTGGTGCTGAAAAAAGAACGGGAGCCACAAAGTCCAAAAGTTCGATTTTTCGATTCTTCATAGCGGCATTTCCTGTTATTTTTCCTCCGAATTGAATTGCAGTTCGGCCTATAGGCACATGGATGAGTGAGTGAGTGAGTGAGTTAGGAATTCCAACTAGCGTTTAGCTCTTAGAATCGAAATCGGGGTTCCCATTGAGGTTATTATTCGAGAAAAATCAATATTCGCTTCCCACACCTCGACGACGACGAAGAAGAAAGGGAAGGTCGAATTTTATGTGAAAGTGACACGTTCTCGTACGCACATAGTGAAATTTTGCATGGTTCGGTGTTATTTTCTTTGCTGAATATCAACGCAGAGCTCTAAGCTGGAAGCGACAACGATGGCCTTGGAGGAGACGCAGAACGGTACGGTGGTGCAGCAGAAGGAAGGTGCTCAGAAGCCGCAGCAGCAGATACAGCCTTCCACGTCCAGCGAGAAGCTGAATGCACTGGCCAATGGGACCAACGAGAAATCACGCAACAATAACAAACAGGTAACATTCCTTTCTCGGTTTCTACACCTATTATCACCTCAACTGGGCTCACACGGTATTCTTTGCTCGGATGGAGCTAGAACCTCCAGCAGCTTTGATGAGAAATCTTCGAGCATGAGTTGTGAAAAATCAACTTTGGTTTTGATTGTGGCACGCTGCCGACTGTTTCTCACCTACGGGCACAGAGGCGTGCGGAGGGTGTTGGGTCTACCGCAGTCCTTTCGTTAAGGTGCTTATTTAATTAACTGTCATAATACTAAACCTGCAAAATGCGTGTCGATGCAGTGACACAGCACGACTGTCTCGTTAATGAGAAACGAGCGTGTTCACAGCAGCGACACATATTTAGCTGGTTCGGTATTAGGACTGTTAATTTGCAAAACCAGTTAACGCAGAATGTTGCTATGACAAATAAGTATCACATGAAAACATAATACGTTCGTAGATCTTTTGCTGTAAATAATACCCAGCATTTCTGTTAAAAATTAAAGTATTTTAAATTCAGTAATACATTAATAATTTCTACAATATGAGTTTCAGATAAAGGGTGATACGGTCAAAATTTGGTCAATATCAACTTGACGTATTTCTTTCAATTTTGCATTTAAAAAACCTGAACACCCCTCATTTTGAAGGTGTGTGTGTGTAGAATGTTGCTCCTATTTTGATTTTGGAATTCACTCTTCAGTTGTCAAAATGCCGTCCAAGCAAGAAGAGCAGCGTATCAAAATTTTGCTCGCGCATCGCGAAAATCCGAGCTACTCGCACGCAAAGTTGGCAAAATCGCTAAAAGTTGCCAAATCAACCGTAATTAAAGTGTTTGGGGAACGTTTGTCGACAGCCAGGAAGTCTGGATCGGGGGGAAATTGAAAACCGGAAGCCGCTGAGACGACAAAGAGAGTTGCCGGTAGTTTCAAGCGAAACCCTAACCTCTCTCTCCGAGATGCCGCAAATAAGCTGGGTGTATCGTCTACAACCGTGCATCGAGCCAAAAAACGAGCCGGATTATCGACTTACAAGAAGGTAGTGACTCCAAATCGCGATGATAAACAAAATACGACGGCCAAAGCGCGATCCCGGAGGCTGTACACGACGATGCTGACGAAGTTTGACTGCGTGGTAATGGACGACGAAACCTACGTCAAAGCCGACTACAAGCAGCTTCCGGGACAGGAGTTTTATACGGCAAAAGGAAGGGGGAAGGTAGCAGATGTTTTCAAGCACATGAAACTGTCAAAGTTCGCAAAGAAATATCTGGTTTGGCAAGCCATCTGTACCTGTGGCTTGAAAAGCAGCATTTTCATAGCTTCCGGGACTGTCAACCAAGAAATTTACGTGGAAGAGTGTTTGAATAAACGTCTGCTGCCTTTCCTGAAGAAACACGGTTGTTCCGTACTGTTTTGGCCGGATTTGGCATCTTGCCATTACGGTAAAAAGGCCATGGAGTGGTACGCCGCCAACAACGTGCAGGTGGTTCCCAAGGACAAGAACCCTCCCAACACGCCAGAGCTCCGCCCAATTGAGAAATACTGGGCTATTGTCAAGCGGAACCTAAAGAAGACCAAAAAACTGCTAAGGGCGAGCAGCAGTTCAAGGCAAACTGGCTTTCTGCGGCGAAGAAGGTGGACAAGGTGGCTGTACAAAATCTGATGGCAGGGGTACAGCGTAAGGCCCGGCAATTCGGATTTGGAAAAGCGGAAGCCTAACGGAATATTTTTCCTGAATTTTATACTAATTGAACTTGAAAAAGAAATTTAATTTGATTTTTTAAATAAACGATTTCACCGATTAACACGCGTTTTCCCTTGACCAAATTTTGACCGTATCACCCTTTAATACAACTAAAAGAGTACGTTTTTCCTCAACAATCTGACGTAATGCTACGTAGTTTGTTGACAACCCCGCAATATTCAAATACAAAAAATCGAATTGATTCACATTCCTCGAACTTGGCTGCTATTTATTGAAACGGAAACTGCTTTTCTTCTGATCAAAAAGTCTTTGATAGAGCAAACATTCAGAGCTAAATGCGGCATGGTTGACGTCCAAGTTCATTTTACGTTCTTTATTCATTTTCAAACAATTAATACATTTCTAGGCAACGTAAAACTACATGTTTTTGTTGAAGACAGTATTTAGCTATGTAGCATTCCTTGCAAAGTTATGGCACGTTTTAACTTTAACTTTCATATATGGGAGAAGGTTGTACACCGGGACTTCAGCAAAAACAGTGTTGCTTTGTTCATATTTGACTAGAACATTATTTGCTTGGAAAATGATTGCCTAAAAAGTTAATAATTAATAACTAAATTTAAAGGGATAACCATCGAAAACGGTCCATATATCCAAAACTATTAGACATAGATAATTTGTATTTTAATCTAAGTTTCATGTTTTGAGTAGTTCTACAACTTTGCACAATAAAGTATCCTATGTCTTTAGGAGAAAAAGTAAAGGGTTTTCATTTTTTTTTTCAAAGTTGGCCATGATATTTTTTTGAAATTGTATGGTTATGGGCAAGGTTGTTTCCGCTCACTTGCTATAAAATAGTGTTGCCAGAATGTTTTAAAGCTTATCGGTATCAAAGGTTTTAACAAAACGCTATTTATCGGTATTTACTATTTTAATTAATTTTATATTTTGCCGTTTTTGAAAGCGAAAATTTTAACTTTTGGGCTTTGATCGGAAAATTCTGGAAGAAAACTCCGGGGAATGTTTGAATTAGCTTCTGGAGGAAGCTAAAAACAACATCCAGAGAAAGAAGAAAAAAGCTCTCCTGGAGGAAATTTGAGGAAAGTTCTGAGGGAAGTCGGAAAAACATCCGCGGAACTTCCAAGACATAAATTAAGAAACTTTCTGATAAAAAAAAAAATCGGATTTCACATTGAAAAGAAGGCAGCAAAGTTTCGGAAATTCGGAAGTAAATTCCAGAAGCAGCCATTTGCAGGGAAGCCAGAAGAAGCTCGGAAAAACCTTCCAATAGAAGTCAAAAAAAAAAAAAAAAAACAACTGGACAAAATTCCAGAACTAGACGAAAGAAATTTATTGGAGTAGTTTAATTGAACTTCCTGGAGAAAACGCAAGAAACTTCCTGGAGACGCTGGCAGAAACTTCCTAAGGTAGATTAGAAAAAAAATCTGGAGAAAGTCGGAAGCCAGAGCGCTTACGGAACAGTCGAAAGAAACAAGGACATCATTCCGGAAGAAAGAGCTCTTGGGGGATGTTCTAAAGATCCAGAAAATTTTCCGAATGGTCATAAAACATCCCTGAAGACCCCGCAATGCCCCTGAAATTGTCGGAACATTCCTGAAATGTACTTAGGAATATTCTTTATTTCCTCGGAATTCCTTTAAAGTTCTTGTAATTTTCCTTAAGTTAATAGGGCTGATTAAGTTAATAGGAAGATTGCAAAATTTCTTAAGCGTACAATTTTCTTGAATTTATTGTTACACACTTAATTCAGATCACCGAAGTCGGTAGGAATTTACCGGGTTTTTGAACAGCAGAACAACTCGGTAAAATTTTCAAATGACCGTTACACGTGAGAAATCAAGAAAATTCATAAATTTTAAATTTTCAATAAATGGGGTAAACTGAACAACTTCTGTACAAATTCGGGATTTTTCACTGATTTTTAAACTTTTATCGAAAAGTTCTGTAGTTCAAAATTTACCGAATGACGGAGGCCTGGATTAGTGTGTACATCAGCATTGAAGTTCCAGATTTTTATAATTTCTTAAAATTATCGACATGTCACGGAACTTCCCTTAAAATGTTCTCACAATGCGCTAATGTTCATGTAACTTCCCTTACGTTTCTTAAATTTGCATGAACCCCTCGGAACCTTGCTGAAATTTTCGGAAATTGCCTGACTTTCTCGGACCTCGTTTGAAATTTCAGCGATTTCCTTGAAATTTATTGATCTATCCTGATGTTCTCGGAGCTTTCTAAAGTTCTCTCAATACTCCTGAAACTAATGGAACTGTCCTGAAAACCATTAAATTTTCCAGAAGTTCTTTGGACTTGTGAATTATCCAAAATATTTATGATGTTTCCTTAAGTACTGGAGTTCGCTGGACTTTCCTAAAATTTCCGGGTTTTAGAATTTTAACAGAAGTAATTGAAACATTCTTTAATTTATCGAAACTTACTCAAAAGTCTGGACTTTTCTGAAGTTTCAGACCTTTTTAAAAGTTCCTGCAGCTAGTGTGGATCCGCAATCAAAATCTGGAAGCATCCCTGAAGTTCCGGGAAAGTTGAAAAAAAAAAAAGAAATTGGCGGGAGAAGATGAAAGAAACATTCGAGCGAAGGCTGAAGAAGCTTCCAAGGGAAGTCGAAATATGTTTCCGAGAGGAATCGAAAAATTATTAACGATGTAAGGTGGAAGAAAATTCAGGAAGTTTAATAATGTTTAAAAAGTATTTCCAGATTCCCCCGGAATTACCAGAAAGAGCCATCGACTGTTTATCGATTCATGGGTATCCTAAAATGGTGAGGACATTGAAACATTAATCGAAAGAGTATCCATAAGACATTTTTAAAGATGATTTTTTTTTAGAATTTTGAAGGCTCAAACAAAGTGGGATATTCAAAAAGATACAAGTCTCACACAATAATTGTCTCCGAAATTCGAGTGTAGGTAGGCAATAATCATTTGGATTATTTAAAAAAAAATCGGTATAAATCGATATAAAACCTCAAAAATCGGTATTCTGAGGAACCTTATCTGTATATTGGTATCTAGTTCGGAAATCGGTATAAATACAGATAAATCGGTATATCTGGCAACGCTGATGGTCGATACTTATTTGAACAATTCCTCTGAAGACACTTTTTTTATTACCCTCCATAAACAATAACCATAAGAAGCGCCTAACCACAAATTCGGGATGTCATCCCAACTTTATGTGGCATGGTTGCACCATCTAAGATATCGTCAGTGTATGGTACTCGTTTATTAGGGTAAGTCAATAGTTTATACAAAATGCAATTAAGTTCA